TACATCTTCCACAGTTTCTCCACTGAGTATGATTTGATTAGTGTTCTGAGTGTTGTATTTTATTATCTTGGCTTTTCTTTTGTGCGTGCTGAGGCTCGCTGATGCAGAGGCTGCTGCCACCCAAGTTGTCTTCATCTGCATTCATTCGTGTGCATGAGATAGGGAGGCCTAGGTCATTTGCGACGTCCAACTTGTCTAACTGTTTCTGAGTTGTCCATTATTTCCGTGTTTTCCCTCAGATATAGAGGTCTACATAATCCGGTCGACCACCCGAAGAAAGAGGAAGGTGGAGAGTAGAGAGCCTTGTCTGTCTCCAGTTCTGTCAGCTGCCTCGCTTGCATCATTTTGCACTGTAGTCCGTCGTATGAGTTTTTTGGATAATGTTGACAATCATCTCAGCAACTCTATAGTGTCGAAGAAGGTTCCGTAATGTCTACTACTTCTTTCATCCGGTTCAGCAACACTCTGTTGAAGACTTTCCCTGGTATTGACAGTAGTGTAATGCCTCTGTAGTTTTCACATTGACTCAGTTATCCTTACTTTGGAATCTTGGTGAGGTGTCCTTCTTTCTAATCCGTCTGCACTTGTTCCTCCACCCAAGTCTTCTTGAAGAGAATGTGGAGCATGTTTGTAGTTCCTCCGATGCCCGACTTTAGTGCTTCAGCCGGTATATTGTCAGGTCCTGCTGCTTTCCTGCTCTTGATTCGTCTGATGGCTATCTTGATTTCTTCCACCTTTGGTGGAGTGACATCTCACATTTTCCATTGTCCAGAGAAGACTTTGTTAAACCTTTGTAATGCTGTTTCCCCAGTTTTCTAGTGTTTCTTCAGCCCCAGTTTCATCTTGACCATCATCAGGTGATGATCTGAAGCTATATCAGCCCTTCCTCTGGTTCTCACATTTTCCATTGTTCTTTAAAATTTTTTATTGATGCAGATATGATCTATTTCGTTCTACGTGGTGTAGTCCGGTGAGATACATATAGCCTTATGTATACGTTTGTGTAGTAGTAGTATGCTGTATAACACCAATTTGTTGAATGCACATAGATTTGCGAATCCTTCCCATTTCCGTTTTTTTCTCACAGTCCATGTCTCCCCATGATATCTTCATACCTGATGTTGTCGATTCGAATGTGGCGCTGAGATCTCTTGTCAGAATGGTGAAGTGCTTCCAGGGGCACTTCGTTATGATCTTTATCGTCGTCCTTGCTATCATTTATGAGTGCATAACATTGGAAAATATTCACTGTAATTCCCTTATTTTTTGTTTCGGATGGTTCTTTGTTGTTTCTGGATCTGCGAGATTCAAATCCTAATTTCACATCTAATTCCCAGGGCAGAGCCTAAATGGTTTGAGTTAACTTTTTTCTGTTTGACGTTTGTTTGGCGAGTTAGGTTTCTACAGGATGGAGTAGCAAACACCATTCTCAATCTTCTTCCTTTATCCGGGCTTTTGACCGGCACTAACTCTGCAAGAGCTTTAAGTACGTTTAACTAACATAGAAGATAAGTAGAGTTCTAACAGATGCGATGATTACATAAAATATTCAACTAAGTAATAACTTTAATGCTATTACTCAGTTATTATATTTTTTGATACACCATAAACCCACTGTGACTAGCGGTGCATCTCTAGGGTTGTTGGAATATCGTCACCACACGAAAGGCGTCTACTAGTATTGTATTTTGTAACACTGTTAAGTATGGAAACATGTTCGAATAATTGTTATAGAAATCGAACACTACGAGATATGAAAACATGCTGGTGAAGAAAATGGCATCTATGATATGTCGTTTAATATTTACGTGATTCGTCGTAATTAATTAAAAGCCAGGTACTGAACAAGTTAGTGTTTCTCTTTTATGCTGTAGAAACAGAAGTGATCGAATCAACGTACCTACGGACGTCGATTCCATAAGGAAGGAAATGTAACAATTCACGTCGTTTATTCATGAGCTGACCTCAAGCGACTATGTCTATGTCAAAACAATGGAGCTAAGATTTTAATTAACTTCCTAATTTTGCTTACGCATTGTACCTCCTACGATCTTATATTGAGTGTTGAAAAGCTTTTTGTGTTTAAACATATGAATTCACACCTCACTGCTTGTTTTCTCACGAGCCAAACATGGACCTATCCACTACTAGTTTGATTTCCGCTATCAATAGAAGGAGGGTTACCTACCTGTATGAAAATATCACTGAATTCACAGAAGCGAAGCCTTCATGACTCAACGTTGTCTAATTGTGACATAAAATACTTATCGTCAGCGATAGGTTTCGTTATCATGGTTGACTTGATAATTTCGAATAAATTCAAATGACTACGCACTCTGGTCTGTTTTGCTCATCACAAAGCGTTGGACACTTTCTACCGTGTGAAACTGGAATTTCAAAACAGCGACGTCCTTAAGTCCTGTGTCCATTTCAGACCATCATCTGATTCATTATACTTTGGAAATGAAATGTGTTTACAATAGTGGTTATAGAAAATATTGAGTTGATGAGAATGACTGCTCTCTGCATATCCGAAGGGTTACATATTCACACGCCAAATAGTAAAGAAATTCTCGTGTGTACTTGAGTAATATAATAAATTGTGTTATTCTAACCACGTCTTCGTTTATAGCAGATGTAGTATTTTTGTTTTTGGTAATAGTAGAAATCCCAGTAATGGTTCAAGTTTGGAAGTTGACGTGTGACGAAGAAATACTGTTAATAAATTATGTCATTCACAATCCTCGACAACATGTAACACGTGTGCAAGAACCCTAAGCCTGACTCCTTGACCATCCCGCCAATCCATGGCGTGAGATTAAATGATGTGCGTTGGTTGTTCTTGACCCTGACGAGGATCAACGAACTGTTAGACATTCAATGACCCAACTGGCGAATGATTTGGTTAAAACTCAGCTTCATTTCACTGGCCCTTCGAGACTCCTCTTCCAGATTCAACGACCGTTTGAGTTGGTTCAAAGATGATGGAAGCAGTTGTTCACTGAAGCTCGCCAAACGATCAGTATGAAAATAAAGTGGTGGGAAATGACCGGAAATAGCGAGTAATAATGAATCACTAGAACGTTGGTTCAGTGCAGAGCTATTAACCATAGAAATATGAGAGAAGCATAGCGTTTTGAAGCCCTATCAATTCGCGTTGAAATAGATAACTTTCACAAGTGACTTATGTTCTCAGATAACCAACGTTCATTTTGCCGTAACACCGATGATATTCTAGTGCATGTACGGTAAGTGTATTATCATTCGATGTCCATATTTGCAGTCATTTATTAAAAGCACAAAAATCAGACAATGTCGTTGACAGCTTCTATTCGTAAGTGCGCAATTCTAGTTATATCTATATTTAACAAACTAACTGTAAGCACAGAAGTATGACCGTGGACAGAAATCGTGATTTCGTTGTGCAAATCTATTGATCAATTTGTAGTCAGAGTTTGAAAAGTCGATGACTTCTGTAAAAATTAGTAAGGGTTGAAGACTACAGATCAAGAGCGCAGAAGGCATGATGAAGTCTCTAAAAGCTCATAAGAGGTGAGTGCTGCATGTTTGTTCGATAAGTGAACCAAAAAATATTGAAAACGACAAAAGAAACCAAAAGTGTTACTCTGGGCTCATGTGTTATATTGGTGAAAAACACTGTCAATGTTGGATAGAGGCGACAATGCCACTTTCACTTTGCAAGGGATTCGATCGACTTCATAAACTGATTATTCGCATGAATCATTATGTCATCAGACCACTAATTGAACTAGACAGATTTTGAATCGATACATCGGCTGATCAATCTAATCTGGGTAGCGGTCATAGATGTGAAGGATGGTGTACCCACTCGTGACCTAGTGCGGATGCATGAGTGAACGCCTTCAGATAGGTGAGTACATTGAAACTAATGCAGTCAGCATCCGATGTCGTAGACTCACAGAGCTACTAAGTCTGGGGATATTTTATCGCTACAGATGAATTTAAAATGAGTAGTTGATCTTGTCTTGTTTATACAAGTGGATCAGTTACAAACAAATGAGGGTTCGTGATGCCTTGTGGCTATACTCACGAGTGGTTCATATTTTAACAGACATATTACACAGGAGCATTTACATGCTGCTCACGATGTTAAAAAACAGCGAAAGCCGATTATAAGCGTAGTTGATTGGTTAGTTCTATCGATTGAAGTAATCAGTCAAGTTTAAATACTAATCAACATTGATATAAATCAGCGAATTTTCACAGTAACTGGTGAACTTAGGCCACGATAAAGATGAGAAACAATGCAATAATAGAGATTATAATGTTATTCTGAGATATTCGAAGTCTTGATCACTAACGTAGATGATCTACGTTGAATGACTGGGAGCCTACTCTAGTTAGATGGGGATGGTGTGATAAATGGCTAACTTTCAAGTCACACATCGAGGTCAGTACCTAACTTGGATAACTTCTTCATCTTATCAATGCACCATGAATGCTTTGACAACCGTACAAAAGAGAGGACGTTATCGCAGAAATATATTAGTAAGAGTAGGTATGAGTGAACGTTTGACCACCATGGTGCAAACGATGCCGTCAGATTAACTGACGCGCGTTGGTTGTCCGTGATCCTAAGGAAGATCAGTGAACTGTCCGATATTCAGTAGCTCAGCTGCCGGATGATCTGGCTAGAACTCAATCACATTTCGTAAGAAGAATCCTTGATCAGTAGAATGTTATATACTGCATAATCGTTACTCCTTCATAAATAAAGCTATACTGTTACAAATTTTAAATTGGTATTTGAGGAAAGAAATTATAATTTTCACGTTGTGAACGAAATAAATAATATTTTAAGACAATTTCGAATCAAAGTAACATAATTAACTAAGATGCCCGGTTGTTATTTCTGACTTTCAAACGGGATTCATTTTTGTAAAAAACTGTAGAAACAATGGAAGTAATAACTTTGACTACTTTTCACGTCTGCTACGACAATTTGTTTTAATCATCATATGAAACCAATGACCTCATTGGTGGCTTTTAAATTCACCTTAAATCTGCATAATGAGCATGTCAGATCAGGACAGTGATACAGAGCAAGATGTACTCGATGACACTGTCGTTAATAAGTATAAAATGTCTGCTGAGGTTACGAATGGTAAGTCATGAGAATATTTCCCCTTGATGTGGTTGTCTCAGCGGTTTTACTCGAGTTGATTGGTCTTTGTGTTGATGGTGCTAACATCGTTGAGTTGTGTGAATTAGGTGATAGAAAAATCTGTGACAAAGTATCTCAGTTATTTAAAAAAGAGAAAGAGATGAGAAAAGGTATCATTTTGACAAGTTACCTTATCTGTAAGGTATTGCCTTTCCCACTGCAATCAGCGTGAACAATATGATACGTCACTACTCTCCTATTGAAAATGAAGGATTTGGTCCTATAGAAATAAAAACTGGAGACCTTGTCAAAATGTAATTTATACCTACTCTCAAATATTTTTTCAGTGATGTTGGTGCTCATATAGATGGTTATGCTGCTATAGTCGGACACACTTTTGTTGTTGGTGCAAGTCAGGTAATGAATTAATACTACTTTGCATACTTGGCAGGACAACAAAATCACTGGCCGAAAAGCTGATGTTATACTGGCCGCACATGCAGCAGCAGAAGCTGTCATTCGGCTATTAAAACCGGGAGTGGAGGTTTGAAACCTAAATTGTATGATGTGTCGTCTTTCAGAATCTAAAGGCTTCAGAAATTGTTAGTAAAACTGTTACAGATTTTAACTGTCACGCCGTGGAAGGTAAGACCCACTATGAAATCATTCTTTTCATTAGGCATGCAATGCCATCAAATGAAAAAGCTTGTATATGACGCAGAAAAAAACATTGTTTTCAGTCCTACGGAAGAGCAGAAAAAGACAGTTGAAAAGTGTACTTTCGACATAAATGACGTATGGAATGTGGATATTATTGTATCGACGGGTGATGGCAGACCACGGGAACATAGAGCGCGGACAACTTTGTTTAAGAAAAATGAAACTTTATACCAATTAAAAATGAAAGCCGCACGTCGTTAGTGTATTATTATTTACGAACTGTAACTTTAGAATTATATAGTGAAATTACAAACAGATTCCTGGCATACCCATTTAGTTTGCGGTATTTGAAATATTTAATGACCATTATACGTTTTAGTGCCTTTGATGATGTCAAAAGAGCTCGACTAGGTATTTGTGAGTGTATAAAACATGGGGTCATTGAACCACTTCCAGTTGTTTGTGAAAAAGATGGTATTTCTATTAGTTTCTGTCCTATGTTCTAGACGAATTTGTTGCTCAATTCAGGTTTACCGTTTTACTCATGCCTAATGGTCCAATGAAAGTCACTGGGTTGACTTTCGATCCTTCTCTGTACAAATCCGAACACAAAGTCAAAGACCCAGAAATCAAGGTATGCAACTTGCTTATTCTTAATAACCTTTCTAGGAACTGCTTTCCCAACCTATTAAGATTCAAAACAAAAAGAAAAAGCCTTTAAAACCAGAATCCGTTGCTAAAATTTCAGCGTAGAAATCTTGTACTGTTTGACTTTCAAATAAAGTTTGTCGTCTAAAATAGTTCATTTTTTTATTCATTGGGTCAAGTTACACAGTCTGCAATCGATATTACTGGCTAATGTTCAACTTCTTATGCATACAAATACCTTCAGTTTCCTTTCAATCCAGTATAGTAGTAATCGTTTTCACATACTTTCATGTACATGTACATGTAAGTTAACGTTGGCTATAGATAGTTTGTTTTTCTCAAGCAGGTGCATTATTATAGGTTAACCTATCTGGAAATTTTTTAACCATAATTCCAATCTATACGTAGGTCTGTAAATAATCTTAGTCAAATCTTCTTGTGGCTACTCAGTTAATATCTGTCATTATTCTCTGCTTTGTCCAAATTAACTTCCACACTCGCTGTAGGCTTTAAACTTTCTTAGTGATTCTAACCAATAACTGCAATAATTTGAGGAAAGGAACGGTCATTTTAAATATGAAATCCTAGACATTATGTGGTGTGTTTGACCATCTAATGCTCATTTGTTAAACACCCAGTTTTCGACTAAATCATTAACAATGAGTTACTTGCAAACTTTCCTACTCGTCTAGGTTGCACTTGTGTTCGAATGCTTTCATATGACAAACTTGGGATTCACAGTGATAACCATTACTTGGATTTAAGTAGAGGGATTCTGGCTGTCCATATCTGGTTACTCATAAACACTTATTGGTGAGCATAATTAATTTTGGTGCATTCCAGTTTTATCCTGGTTTTGTTTAATTTGTCTAATTGACCATGTGAGGAGTATCTAATTTTACAACTAATATTGGTGAGACTTATGATGCGCTACATTCCTACATGATAAAATGACGCAGGCCATTATTTCGAGGATGCTGTCAACGTAAAAACTCCCAGACTATAAGTGCAAAAATTGTTTTGACAGTCAACCTATTGGACCATCTATCTAAGCGTCTCCAACCTCTTAAGTCCATCGGGTATGATTAGTCTGATGGTCAGAACCAATTTGCACCGTACAGTTACAGAACAACAGGGAATCAGGGTTCTCTTTAAAGTCTATCAAGCCCGCCAAGCTTCCATTCATACAAGATTCGTTACATTAAATGCTAATTAGTGTGCTTATTCAACGAAGTGAATGACTAGGTAGGGAATATTAGCACATGTCAACTATTTTCTATATTAAGGATTATCAGTGCTATAGAAGCGGGAATATGCCAATATCTGAATTCCAATTTAGAGGTTGGATTTGTAACTTTCCAGAGGATGATTTACTGGGTCCACCTGTTATTATACGCAGATAACAGTCCTATTTAGTGGAGATTCTGATATCATGAGGTTTTCTTATCATCATTAACTATGCTATGATTCTTTGAATGGGCACTATGTATTACTCTGTACAACATGGCCTGTGTATGTAATACATTCTCAGGCTCCAGGTTTGTGGACATACATTTTTTAAAAGCGTTCGCGTTCTATGGAACGAGTAGATAAGCAGTGTTCAAGTCGAATACAGGTTGCTAAGTAGGAAAACCAAATCAGTTTATGAGGTAGTGGATTTTCCTTAAGTGAGGTGACTGGGATATTTGCTACACACATCCAACCACTATCTGCCTCGACATGCGATACTGACTAGATTAGGTAAAACCAAAGGTATGCGCAACCGAACAAAAACTTGACGTTGATCGATAAGATCTCTAAGTGTTGGTCTAAGCCATACTAGTGTAGGCAGACCGTCTGATAACATAGCTTAAAATGGTATAGATCCGTTTATTATTTATCTTCCCTTGGATCCTGAGTTCTGTTATCTGGTATATGTATTTCCATTGTTTTCTAGAACTGAGCTGTTAATGTTTATTCTTCATAATCATTGTTAATGTAAGGAACATTTTATCCTAAAATACGTTTTATGAAGAAATCAATTGTAAGGCCACAGCTCATTCAATTTACTTTCATTGTATCAAGCATTTTAGTGTTATTATTGGTTCATTTGAATTTTGCTCACTATAATGTTACTTGATATTAATTTTGTGTAGCAATTCAGTTACTAACAGTCACTGAATATAATCCTAATGTATTGGGATGAATTCGAATGTGAATTAATTTTTTTGGTGTCTCTGTTAAATGAGTCTTCTTTACAAGACTTGTCATCTGGAGTAACTGCGGTTACGAGGAAAGGGTACAATAATATCATAGTGTTGAAGTGAATTTGATAGTTATCCCTGTTATCACAGGCATTAGTTCAACTTCTTTGATACTTATTAATCTGATAATTGCTAACCTGCCATTTTTCTGTAGCATTTTCATGATCATAAGTAATAATGACTTTCAAATACTTATCTTCATGAATATTGAGAATGATATTTACAAAGGTTTGTATATTTCTTTATTGACGCTAACTATTGCAAATGATCAGTCTCCTCTGACATATATTTATCTTAAATGTGTTCCGTCAGTATTGCCATTAAGTCACAAATCTTTTTTTTAAAAAAACGTTCGGGTAATGATTAGCAGTGGGGTCCAGGATGCATGTTCCATTCCATCCAGGGATAATCGGCTAGTTGTACTGTAATAATTAGGAGTATTTGGATTATTGTAAAAATTAGGAATTCCAGAAATAATGCAGTTTAATTAAGAAGTATTAAATGACCAGGAACGAACGCATCGTATTTGGAATTCGAAATCAAGCAGTCATCAAGCACAAATGAATTATTAGTTCATGCAAACACCACATGTACTTACATTCCTAGTGTTGACATTCACGCTACGACTCGTACCGTTGCTTTTTACCATGAACGCTAATACGTTATCTGTTGAGTTACTAGGTCCACATAGCCACTGGCTTGTGCAACCGAGATGAATTTTATTTATAAGAGTTTGTATCTTGTTGTTAAGGTTTAAAATTAGTCCCACTTCAATAAAATTCAGAGCATTAGTATGGGTAATTAAATAACGATCTGTCAGTTGCCACCAACACTTTCATTACTGATTCAATTTATCTGGAATCGCATTTGGTTACCTATAAAACTGCCCTTTAAAATTGATCACTTCTTAGTAGCGAATTTGACTAGTCCTTACCACTTTCCTTTTTCTTTACCAAGAACATCATCAAAGCTTTTTAAAATCTAAAACTATCTTCATCTTTTTTAAGAAATGACTTTGTAATTAGAAGACTTTCGTCTCAGGTTCGAACTATATTTCGTCTAATTCTATTATAGAACGCGAATGGTACGTCATGACTTGAAGCGGTGCATATAAGACGATATTTGGTAAATAAGTCAAATCAACAAATTTATAGAAAAACTGTAAATTAGGAAATTATTTTTAATTAAATTCTAATAATTTTCTTGTAACGATTTTGTATTTAACTGCAAAACTTTCTGTTGTGTATTTTTCTACACCCATTTCTAACGAGTCCGTTAGCCCAGTTATTGTCTACGTTATCGATAATTTGATCAATGATCAGTGAAACATGGCCGGTAAGAGTAGGGGATATTCGTAGGTTACTAGTATTCGAATATAGGTGTCTTCGAAGCATTGCTCGTATATCCTGTGACTACCGAGTAAGTAACGCAGTTGTTAGAAAACGGGTACTAGGTAAGGATGGCAAATCAATTGATGACGTAGTGAAACTTCATCACTTGAGATGGCTGAGACACGTGTTACGCATTCCCAACCACCGACTTCCCCAACGAGCGGTGTTTCACGGTGTAGGAGTAGGTTGGAAGAAAGTTAGGGGCGGCCAGACCAAAACGTGGCACAAATCCATCAAGTTATTGACGAGTGGACTGAGCCATGTTGGTCGGTGTAGACTACCTGGTTGGGAACCGCGAGATGATAGCAACCGATGGTTAGAGACCTTGAATGACATGGATGAAAATTGTTTGCAATGGTGCAGGTGCATCCACACTTTGTGTTTACCGAAATTCTAATCTTCTGAATTCTTCATGTCCCTTTCCTTTTTCTCTTTCCAAATTTATTTCACTGGATTATACTCCTTGAATAACATCTTCAAACCCTAATCTTTCCGATTACTGCTTATACTCTTACTACCTCGACCACTATGAGATTTGGATCGACAATTGTATCTTTGTGTTAATGTGATATGGCAACTCGAAATTATGTACGTACATGCGAAGTTCTACATTGTTACTGACTGACTGAATTTGGTCAAATAGAATTATAAGCTATTAACAATCTGTATTAGAAAAACCAATCAAATACTTCACTATACTGTGTCACTCAGATTTATTACTTTACGCGAGGCATATTCGTAAAATACAAGACTACAACACAACGTAAGTTATAGATCTCACCATGTACATAACTACGATATTTGTAGTGAATAATGCGAATAACAGGTTTGTTATCTAGTTACAGGAATTCACGAACGGTAAAAGATATAACAACAATTATTGAAGGCAATAGAATCTTACGATTGGGGAAAAATGAAAATCTCATTGATGGTGTCACAGGTATTCAGTGTTTGACAACGCTTCTACCAGTAACACCTTCTAACGTATTTCGTTCCCACCCAGAGAAATCAAAAGACAGAGTCGAGGAGATCGGAAGAGTATATTTGGTGACGACCACACGTGATCTGGTGCGGATGCATGACCGAGCGCCTTCAGCTAGATGAGTCCACTAAAACATACGGTCAGCATCCAATGTCGAAAACTTAGTGCTATTTATTTTGGGGATTTATTTACCGCTACAGATCACTCCCCCCCCTAGTGGGGCAGTGACGACCCTAAGACGTGGCCAGCCAGAAGTTTAAACCCAACGAGTTTGTCGTTGGTAAACACTCTTCTGATAGCTTACTAAGTGTAGCAGCGTCTGGTCGTCTTTCCTTACTATATGGGACCGAGGTACAACATAGTAAAAAAAGAAAGTTACAACGAAAATTTCGATTCCTCGTAAACTGCAACGTTCTTTTCCAGTCGTCCTGGAAAAGAAAAAAGAAAGTGTTAGTGCATGTCGAAATACACTCGTATGTGCGTAAAAACACAATGTCGGCGGATAAAAAATGGAAAATAAACTCATGAACACGTAATAGCGTTAAAAAAATTGTTTTTTCTGTTTTCTTTTTTTTAAAATAGAAATTAAAATATATAAGCATATTAAAATTGTTTTTTGTTTTTTTTTAAAAAAAAATGATATAAAATGTCGAGAAGTGCCTTACGTGCAATAGTCGTTTAAATGTTCTGGAAATCTCACCCTTCTTCCAGAACGCGTCGTTTTAAGTTTATTTCCGGATACTGTCGAAGTATCATCGTGTGTGTTGGTTGTCGGATGAGGTATTATAAGTGTCGGAGTCGTGTCGTTCGATTGTACCGAAGGAAGATCCACGTAGATAGGATTTCCTTCTAAATACGCTGCTTTTAAGCGATCGATGCTGATGCTATCGTTGGTTCCGTTCTTATCGACTATATAGTACTTAGATCCACGTTGAAGAACTTTGAAGGGTCCTTCGTATGCTGATTCGAATGGTCGTCGATGCGAGTCTCGACGAATGAAAACGTGTGTACTATATCGTAAGTCAGGTTGAACGAAAACATCAGTTGATTGAGGTCGAGTGGAAGCAGGTTTAACTGAACGCATTGCGTTTGTAAGCCTGTTCGTGTAGGAGGTTAGATCCATGTTCATTGAAGAGGATGAAGGATCCACGAATTCTCCTGGAAGTCGAAGTGTCGTTCCATAAACGAGTTGAGACGCAGTGTATCCAATGTCAGCTTTCACTGCATTGCGGATACCTAGTAAGACGAGTGGAAGAGCGTCGGTCCACTGTGAAACGTTTGCAGCTGATAGCGAAGCTTTCAGTTGTCGGTGAAAACGTTCTACCAACCCGTTTGCTTGTGGATGGTAGGCGGTCGTTCGGAAGCGAGTGATTCCTAAAAGTGTGGTCAGACGACGGAAAAGATCGGACTCAAACTGACGTCCGCGGTCTGTAGTGATGGTTGAAGGGCAGCCAAAGTTTGCTACCCATCGTTCGACGAAGGTGCGAGCCACTGTTTCAGCAGTGATGTCCTTGATAGGTACTGCTTCTGGCCATCGAGTGAAACGGTCTACGCAGGTTAAGAGATAAGAGTATCCATTTGAATCTGGTAACGGTCCTACCAAATCCAGATGAACATGATCGAAACGAGCATCGGGAGTTTTAAACGAGCCTAAGGGGCATTTATTGTGTCTGATGACCTTAGATTTTTGGCAGCTTACACAGGAGCGTGCCCACTCCCTCACGTCTTTATTCATTCCAGGCCAGCAAAACCTTTCTGCTATAAGCTTGATGGTTGCACGAACACCTGGATGAGAAAGTTTGTGCAATGTGTTGAAGACATTGCGTCGATAATGTTTCGGCACGATTGGGCGATCCCTACCTGTAGATGTGTCACAAAGTAAGGTTTCCTTACCTGTTCCCATCTGTTTGATGCGTAGTTTAAGTGTTGTGGACGATAACTCGTGCTGAAGATCACTGTCTTCTTTTTGAAGCTCGGCGAGTTTAAGAAGGTCGATTCCTTGGAAACTGTTCAAGGAAGTTATACGAGATAAGGCGTCTGCAACTACATTGTTTGCTCCAGAAATATGTTGAATATCTGAAGTAAACTGCGAAATGTAGTCCAGTTGTCGAGACTCACGGGGGGAGTACTTGTCAGAAGGAGAGCTTAACGAGAAAGTGAGTGGTTTATGGTCAGTGAAAAGAGTGAATTCACGACCTTCGATGTAGTGTTGGAAATGCCGTACAGCACAATACATAGCTAGGAGTTCCCTACCGAATGTGCTGTACCTCGATTCGGTGTCTAGCAACCTTCTAGAGAAAAATGCCAAGGGTTGCCAGGAGTTGTTAACCCATTGTTGTAAGACTCCTCCGATTGCTGAGTCGGATGCGTCTACTGCGATGCTAATGGGTGCTCGGGTGTCCTGATGTGCGAGCATTGTTGCTTTAGCAATCAGTTCCTTAACTGTGGAGAATGCTTTTCGTGCGGTGTCGTCCAAATTAATGGATTTCGCATTTCCACGAAGTTGGTCGGTCAGAGGTTTCATAAGTAATGCGCATTTGGGTATGAAACGTCTATAGAAACTTACGAGACCGTTAAACGTGCGCAATTGCTTGACGGTGGTCGGTTCTGGGTAATCCAGAATGGCCGCCACTTTGGTCCTAAGAGGTCGAATGCCTTGAGCATCGATAGTGTGTCCTAGGAAGTCTAACGAGTTGGTTCCGAATTGGCATTTCTGAACGTTTACAGTTATGCCATGTTTTTGAAGTCGTTCGAAAACAAGATCCAGATGCTTGAGATGTGTTTCTCTGTCCGGACTTGCGATTAGACAGTCATCAACATACGCGTGTACGAAGTTGAGGCCTCGAAAAACGTCGTCTATGAATCTTTGGAATGTTTGAGCAGCATTCCTTAGACCGAAAGGCATTCGCAAAAATTCATAGAGTCCGAAGGGAGTTATGATAGCCGTTTTCGGTATGTCGTCAGTAGCCATAGGGATTTGGTTATACGCTTTAACCAAGTCGATTTTCGAAAAGACAGTTGTACCTTTCAAGGTGGCTGTCAAATCGTGAATGTGAGGCAACGGGTAACGATCGGGAATGGTTTTCGCGTTCAATCGCCGATAGTCACCAGTTGGACGCCAATCGTTGCTGTCCTTTTTAGGGACCATGTGCAACGGAGATGCATATGGGCTACTTGACGGTCGTATGATTCCTAAGTCCATCATGTGATCGAATTCGTTTTTCGCTAACCTTAGCTTTTCAGGAGCTAGTCGGCGTGCTTTAGAAAATACAGGTGGTCCTGTAGTCGTGATGTGATGTGTAACATTGCTGGTTACACACGGTAGTTTCGTTTGAGTTTGTTGTATCTCAGGGTACTTATCGAGTAGTGGTTGATAGAGTGGGTCTATCATATGTTTAACTGTGACTGGGGATACTCTACAACCAGTAAAAGAAGTTACGCAAACGGACAAATTAGTGTTACCGTCTACTAGCCTCCGTTTGCGCGTGTCGATGATCAGATTGTGGTGTTGTAGAAGATCCATACCAATGATTGGCATAGAAACATCTGCAACAACGAAAATCCAGTGGATGGGTTTGCGTAAACCCACGTTAAGGTAAACGTACCTTTTGCCATACGTAGCGATCGGTTTTCCGTTTGCCGCCTGTAAGTTTAGGGTCGATTCGTGTAGTCGGTCGTTAGGATTTGCTGGGAGAAGGCTAACTTCTGCGCCAGTGTCGACGAGGTAGCGAACTCTCGTTGTCACATCTGTGACGAATAACAGACGGCTTTGTTCGCCGGCTACGGTTGCCGTTAACGCGTGCCGGCTTGGAAGTTTCCCGAATTGCTTTTCGAATCAGTCGGTTTC